TTATATTATTTAAATTTATTTATGTATTCAAAAATAATCCATTTATGTTTTACATGCCCCAGCTATAGCCCTTACCTAATTGGAATATGGAATAAGATTAAGAATAAGAATTCTACAATACAGATAGAATGTCTTTGTTGCTTGATCCCAAGAAATCTATTGTTAAAATAGATATTACCCATTGACGAAATGCAAAATTTTAACACTGAGCTATTGCAATCGTATTGATATTGACCAAAAGGGATTTAACTCTGATTAAAGTCTGATAGAATTAATTTGATTGATTCATTTCATATTTTTAGCTATCTGCTACAGAGCATTTGCTAGTCGGGCTTCGCCAGTGTTGCCTTCAGCTCACTCTGAAAAAGCTAAATACTGTATCTGAGGCGGCGAAAAGCAAATTATGTCATGTTATATTTTGAACTAACGTTTTTGGGAAAGCCGTGGGAAATTGAAGGCAAATGTCAAATGTTGCGTGTTTTCACTTTCGATTTGTCGCAACAATAACAAAACTTGGCCGGAGGCGTTGCTCTATTTTGTTACTGTTGTTTGTGGCGGGCGGATGGGCGGTGAAATTCCGAGAAAGCAATTAGGAACTTGGCTTAGTTTGTTGAACTCCAGTCAAAGGTTGAGCCTGACCGGGTGGGGAAGGAGGAAGGTGGGGGTGGCGTCTATGAGGTACTGTTAGCTGACTAACTGTAATTGAGTTATATGCGGCTAGGTATATGGTAGCCAATTGAAGCGGAAATCGCAAAGCGGGGCGAATCGAGGGCACCGGCACATCTGGCCACGCTGCACTTTTGCAGAAGCAGTGAAAGATTTACACGCATCGCTGGCAATGCCAGGCGAACGTGGTTGTTGATGTTGTTGCTGGCGTGGCTCGTGTGGGGATTATTTTGTGACGCGTCATGGCGCCGAATTCCAAGAAAGAGGCGCAGCATTCCGCGCTGCCAGCAACCAACCACTTCGAGAAGTGCGAAAAATGCCGGCGCACTGAGATAAGTTAAAGGAAATCACAAAAAAAAATAAAAATAAAAAAACGAGAGCTATATGTATTAGTTTAGTGAGAACAACTAACAGCTACCCTGTTTGACTATTGTAGATATTAATTCACATATTCATATACAGGCCGATAGCAATATCTCCACTGTTAACATTGCCATCACTACATCGTTAACAGTGTCAAGCCTAGCTTTAACAGTCCTGTAGCAGGAAAAAACTAGGGTAAGAGGTTGTCTCCCTCTAGCACATGTAATTAAAGGGACAGATTTAGCTCGCGCAAAATCTGATGCATGAGATAGCTGCATGGTGAAATTCATTCAATATACAGAAAGCGAATGTGGGGCAGAGCCCATATGAATGTAATGTTTTTCAAAAAATTAAATTATAAGTATAAAACGATATGCGTCTGTGTATATACATACAAAAGTCTCTGCAAATTTGAGTTATCCAGGTGGAGAAATAACTGATTTAGGTGCAGTCTTTACTGCATATTAACATTATCCTGTCAAGTTTAGATAAATACCCTGTTTTGTACCCTGTAAAGTACAGGGTATATATGTACATATACAAAAGAGTTGCCACCGTCGCTAACCAATGCTGTGATGCCCCACCGAATGGTGCATGACGTGGACCATTTGGCGTTGCGGCTGCTCCTTGGACTTCACACATGTTGTTGTTGCTCTTGTTGTTTTGCTTTATGTTTGTCTCTTGTTGCTTTTGCTTGAAATATGCTGGGGATTTCCAACGGTTTTCACTCCTTTGCACTTGCAGCACGCTCGCTCCCAACTCAATTCGTCCCACTCAAACGCTCTCTTGGCATTTTGGGGCTCAGTGTACCGCTCTCTCTCTCTCTCTCTCTTCCTCTCTCTTTGAGTGCATTTTAAGTTGTGCGAAACGTGTTTTGAGTTCAAGTTTTAGCGCTTGCGGCGTTATTTGCTCCTACGCCAGCTGCGCCTATTGTAGGGCAGAGAGGGAGGGCGGCCAGGCCGCTGCTAACTTGGCTTAAATAAGCGCATGAATTCTGGCTAAATTGCGTATGAGTCATCGCCGAGCGTAGTGGCGTGTCGTGGCGCAGTTGTAGCCACATTCGATTCATTCATTTCATGCTTTGCTTCTGCTTCTTCTTGCTGATTTTTTTTTCTTTCTTTTAGCCGTATGAATGAAATTTTGCGCTGTTATCGCAGCTACTTAAAGTTGACTTTGTTTTTCTTCTTCTTGTTGTTGTTGCTGGTGCCGTCATTGTTATAACTGTTTATAGGCATTCAAATATTTGCAGTGGCAACAAAAGCAATGCCTCAACACATAACTAGTTATATACGCACATATATGTATCTATATATTTGTATGTATGTGGATGTATGTATAATAGTTCATATACTGCATGATATATTAGAGGATGAGATCTCACTTAAAGTAAATATTGTTTAGAAATAGTTCAGAAATTAACAGTTACATGTTATAGCGGCAATTGTGAGATCCTTAGTATTTTAAAGGCCTATCTTAACTCAGAATCTATGCGAGCGGGAGTTATGCAATTTGGTATGCGGGCTCACACTCGCTTAAGGTACAGATTTTTATTGAGTTACAAGTGTTTGATAACTTCTAATTCTAATACACAGTTAGTTCTAATACACATCTTATATAAAACGGATCCTCTTGAACTCAGTAACAATATAAACTCTATAGTTTATATTTTGAGGCTCTCCTCGGACTTTCTTATAAGCACAAGATCAAAATCCTGAAATGTGTATCAATTACTCTTATATGAAAAACTATATAACAAAAAGCTTAAAGAAGAACACACGTTCTATTAGGTTATCCAACGAATTTTAGTTCTAAAATGTTTTTTTTTTTAAGATAATTAAAATTTCATTTGTCATTACGTATTGCTTAAAAGGGTAAGACTGTTAAAATGACATACTAGAATTTATCCGTGGGATCAAACTTGTTCTGTAGGTGCGTCAATCCTTATCAGGCACATCGACGCTGGCTAGGATGACCGTTATGTCATCGGGCTTACCTCCAACGCCATAGTTCATATTGTTTGCCTTGGCCTTCAGCGCGAACGGCGACTGGAACGTATTGCTAAGGGATAAGGTTTTGGCCATGTCCACCAATCGGTTGACTGCGTGCTGTAGGTGCTCCATTCGCGTCTCGCCGTGCAGCGGCTGCAGGTGACGAATCAACATGCTCTCGGGCACATTGTCGAAGAGGCCATCCGTGGCCAGCAGAACCAGGTCACCCTGCTGCACGTTTATGTGCGTGGTCACCGCCTGCTGGGGCGAATCGCATAGAATGCAATCCATGCCCGGCTCCGGTGCCACAGTCAGCTGATACGGCGTGTTGAAGCCGTGCAGCTGCTCATCGGAACGATGGAGCACCTTTCCGTTGCGCAGCACCATGAAGCCGCTGTCTCCCAGATTGGCCGAGTGCAGGGTGCAGTCACGCCGATGCAGTGTTACCAGGCAGGCGGTGCTGCTGCCGCAGACCTTGTCCGACATCTTCTTCATTTGATCGAAGCTATCGATGAGCAGCTGGCGCGGATCGGAGCCATCGTACTGCGGCTGCTCTGCGAACTCACAGCAATTCGTCATCAGCTCCTGGGCAAAGAGGCCAGAATCGATGCCCAGCCTACGCCAGCCGCCCACACCGTCTGCCACGCCCATTGTTTCAGCCTTCGGCGTGCTGCTCACAAACCAGCTATCCTCTCCATACCGATGATCCTCTAACATGTGCAAATGATCATCGGCTAGCTGATCCTTAGAGCTGCCCTGTATGGCCTTAATCAGGCGGGGCAGACCCTTTGTCTTGGTGGTAGAGCTAAGCAGTCGATACTGAACATAGGCATAATTCACTACCTGAGAGGTGCGATTGGAGAGGTTACGCACCGTAAAGAACATTCTGAAATTTTGGGTAAAAAATTTGTATTCAATTTGTTTTCCGATTTATCAAATAAAATTTCAAAATGTGTTCCACAAATATATATATAATTTAGAGTCTTATAAAGTTAGCTGTCAAAAATAACAGTTTGAAAGTATTGCAACATGACTAAAATATAAAAAAAACCTTGAGAGATAAAGAAAAAAGGCTAATGTATATATTCAATGTATATTCAAAATATGCATATGCATTAGAAAAAAATTATAAATATATGAATATTGATTAGTAACATTTTCGATATGTTCTATATAATTAAATATATTCTATATTCCATTTACATATACTGACTCCCTAATTAACCTGAATTATGAGTCAAGCTTTGGACTATCAAGTGGACTATATACCATAGAGCTTCCCGCCTTCGTAGCTATCAATTCAATATTTATGATCTTTACACATAGACAGCTTCGTCTTTATCAACAGGTTGTTATCATGCATAATCGCAAGTTTATTTGGCTAGATTTCCCCTGTTTCAACAGAATAATTCAGTCATTCAACAGCGCTGTCTTCCCGGTAATACCTTTGTTAGCGTTCTGTAATCTTATCGGCCAGTTGTACAGGGCCTACGACACAGAGTCAATACCTTTCGCACCTCTTTGTATAAATCATCACCGGAAGTGGGCAGCGGATCCAATGCGTTTCCCTTATCGCAATTGGCCTATCAAGCAGGTAAAACAAGTAAACAAATGCTTCATGCTGCAAATTATTTATAAACTCCTGATGTAAACTGTTCCAGAAATCACGCGTAGCGTATCAATTACAAATGAAATGATATATTAGATATGGATCGGCAGATTCGCCGGAATTCGGCAGTTATTCATAACATCAATTGGGCACTTGAGCCCAAAGTTCCTGTCTCGAAGTAAAGCCACAAATTTATCCCTAAATTATGTACCATATTAGACGATTTCATACTCTATTTGTATGTATGTACATACTATACGCAGTTCCAGTTTCGTATTCGCCTTTCATTTACATTCTTATCGAAGTAAGGGCATTGTGGCGATGACGTTAGATGCTCGACTTAACTGTACATTCCTGGAACGACGACAGCGTTCGTAAAAGTTGGGTTTTTATTATAAATATAACATATATAATATATATGTATATATCCATATAAATGGGGGCAACACACGGAACTGCCAGCGGGCGCGGGACCCTCATGTACAATGGCGGTACAGTTGCCACCGCGTTGTATAACAGATTGCCCTGGCCTATGTCTATTTTCGTTGCAGATTTCGATTCTTAGTTCATACAGCTGCGGGTGCATTGCGATAAAAAGAATTAAATGTACATATACAGATTTATATAGACGTATATACTTCAACTAAATCGGGTCGTGGAACTTATATGCAAACCCCAACTAACCGCATTTATTACACATAAATATGTACTATTTTTCTATCGATATACATATACATATTTCTTACTGCCGACTCATCAGTTTCATTCCATATGTTTCTAATATATGTATAATGCTCATTATTGTAACCCTATTTCCTTTCTATTTATCTTTGCAGGTAAGTAAATCCAAGGGTTACTGCAAATCAATTACTGCAAATGCTTCGTGTCACATGGCCCAGTTCCAGCTCCAATTACAGTCGCCATCGCTAAGTCCCTCTGCCCCCTGATATCTCACTCCTCCCCTTTGTTGTAAGTGCCTTTGATACTCTCAGCGTAAACAAGGTCAGTGCGGACTTTTCTATACCCCGTGTACAAATTGATGAGGGGTATGTATGGGTGTGTACACCGTCTGTTATACAGCTAAAACTGCTCAAGCTGTTATACACGAAGTCGTAAAGTCATTATACAGTCTTTAGCGTTAGCTGTTCGGTACCTCATTCCAAAGTGTCATACTGTCGAAACTGTTATACAATACCTAGTGTGTTATATACAAATACATATCTCATTATTATAACCTTGCAGGCTTGTGCCACAGCTTTCGCACATACTGCAGGGTATTATGCTAGTCTAACATTAATGTGAAACTATATTTTGCGCTAGGGCTTCCTTTGTGTATAGAATATTACAAATAGAACGTGTACAGTCGCATGCCCCATCAATATTTGTGTGAATGCTGACATATCGTAGATAAAGTCGAAGCTAGAGTAAACAAACACCTGCTCGCCTGCCACACACCTGTAGGCACTGGGGCAGATACAAGGAAAGCAAAATAAAACAGCCAAATCGCAGCGAATCGAACTACGGCGATACGATGGGTCGTTCGACCCATTTTTGGAAGCGCAGCGGCTGATAAGGCCAAGTCGAGAGACCAACTATGGCGGCCTACAAAGGCTGGCCATTGTAATTATGTATGTATGTATGAATGTGTGTGTGTGTGTGTGTGGCTGTGTGTGGCTGTGTGTGGGTGTGAGGAAGGTACATTACCTAGGTCTTTAAATATAGTTGCTTATGTCATAATCAAATTGTCTGGCGATAAGATAAAGACGCTGCTCAACGAAACGTCGCCTAGAAAATTTTGGGGCGTGGGCACGTGAGCCCAAAATGCAAGGCAAAACGGCAGTCTGGGCTAAACCCAAGAGCCAAGTACACATACACAAACACGCATACATACTCAAGCACACTCATGCATGCATACAAAACCAAAAGCTTCGAACATTGTGCGGCCGCTCAGGAAATGCCGAACGTCTCGAACAACTTTTAACTCACTCAAACGTTGAATTCGCTCTCGCCGCGTTGTCACTCTCAGCCAGTCTGAGAGAGAGAGAGCAAGTGCGCTGAGGAATGCGATAAGCGCTCAAAAGTCGTTGGCGCTGGGCAGCTCGCATATAAAAGTCGTCAGCGCAACGATGACGCATTTAGTCGAAACCCGTTGGCCGTGTGAAACGTTTCAGCAAGTGTAAAGCTGAGTTACAAGAGGAAAGAAAAAACTGTTAAACAGCTAAAAGCTAAATGCGAAAAAGTTTGTAAAGCAACAAAAAGAATATCCAAACGAAAAATACTGTTGAGCATATTTTGTAAATAAAACGCGGCATGTGCGAGCGAGCGCGCGAATAATTCTCGGAAAAGCTGACAGCAAAATTAATTTGCAAAAAATAAAAAAGAGGAAACAAAAAAGAAAAGGCAAAAACAGCTACAGATACATTTCAAGTGTGCGTTGAGTCTAAATAAAATAAAAATACTACAACAATAACAAATAAACAGAGAAACGAATTTCGTCAGAAATTTGCATTTGTCATCGGCACAGACGACGGCGTCGCCTGTTGCGCCTATTAAAGCCAATTACTACCCAAACGATATCATAGCGAATATAGATCCACAATATACGGCAAACATGACCCTGGACAGTTACAATATCTTCGGCGATGAATACCATCTCTTTAATATGCCGTTATCGCCATTGCCCAAATCGGTAAGCAAAAAATGCAAATAGTTATAGAAAAAAAAAAAAAAAAAAACAGTTGTTTCGCTTATCAGGCAAGTGTAGGGGTAACTGAAATTTCCAGAAGCCTGAGTCCAGTTGTCGATTTGCAGTTTTGAAAACATTTATATAAATACTGTATATGTATATACTATATAATGTATATATGTTTATACATGCATATACATATATGCATGCATATCTCTATCGCTGCATGCAGTGGGCCTTATCGTTCTTGGAAATTTCGTCGTCGTATACCCTTTGGTTTTTACATGTATATTCGACTTTTTTATTCTTTTTTATTTTGCGCCCCCATTATTATATCGTATTTGATGTGATTTTTCTGTTTTGCAATTGAATTTGTTTGCTTAATGATTAGACGCCTTATCAGCACAGCGATTTATGTTCCACGTAATATATTTTTTTGTTTTTGTTCTTTACCCTGCGATAATATTATTAATAATTATTGTGTGTGGCAAGTGCACAAATAGTTCAAATAGCTTGTAGGCGGAACCCACCTAAAATCCATTTGCTGATAACTTAAAAATATTTCGAATATTTGTACAGTTATGAAAGACCTTGTTTCTTGGGGTTTACTCTATATGAAAGGAAGGTCGAAAAAGTGTTTCTTTTTGTACCTCCTAATGAAAAAAAAAATATATTAGTTAGCTATATAAAATTTGATTGATGTGTGCTTTTTCATAGATAGCGAGCTATATACATAAATATATTGCAGATAAAGTTATATAAATAACTGGCTGTATTTCTTGGGTATTTTTCATAGTTTGATATAACTTGTTCGATTTTTCAGAAAATTTAAGAATGGGTAACTGTTATACTAACAATAAATCTATAACATTTTGTACAACAGCTATAGCTACAATCATTTCTCTATATGTATAGCACTATTGAAAACAAAAAAGATTTTATATAATGAGGGTCTTCTTGCTTCTAAATATTCTTCTAGACTTTGCGCCTTTTATATATTTTGTTATTATATTTTGAGCGTGGATTTGTACATATGTACATAAATAATTATGTATGTATATATCATATCCAATGGTTTTATGTTACCTGGAAATCTATTTGGCTGCTCACCCGCTTCAATTTTGCACCCCTTTAAAAATAAATCACGTTGCCAACTCATGAGAGGCTACAAAAACAAGTTGTTCGTTAATATATGTTTACTTTTTGCAGTTTGCAGTATTTTTTTCCTTCTTTTTTTTTGTCTTTTTTGCATATTACGTCCATTGCATTTCACAGTCCAGTGATCGGGCGGCTGACTATATTGCACACGTGCGATATGTGTGAGCAATTTATCAAGTTTTTTGGGGTTTACATCTGTTATATACGAAAATGTATATTTGTGTGAGTGTATGTGTGTGTATAGCACCTTTGCTCATAATGGCCCGGGCAGGGTTCAATGTTCAGCTTAACTGGGCTTAAATGCGAGCGTAGAAAGCGAATTGAAATTGGCAGCCGTCGCATGCATGACCCTTTCAACTTCCACCAAACTGGCCCAAAAGGCATTCGCGTGACACTTGATACTCGCTTTCATAAGCATATAAGACATGGCTATATGTAAGCATATAAGCGCATATGTGCATATGTGTATGTGTGTGTATATATGTACATATATCCCATATCTTACATATACTTATTGCTGCAATTGGGGCGGTTCAAAGTAATATGCTTCAAGTCAAACACTTGCGACTTCTGACATATGCGACTTAAGCGACTCAAATTGTTTAATTAAAGGCGCTTAAGCACAAGTGCACTGAGAAAAATATTGCTGTAGCTGGCAGCAAATATGATTAGCAGGACAAAAATGCAGTTAGCAACTCTAAAATGGGAGATATTACAAAATTATTATTATATATGAGGTGAATAAAATACTACTAATATATGCTATATATATAACAGTATAACAGTTTTATTATTATATTTATTTATTATAATCTATTAGTTTTACTCATATTTTCAATTATAAATATTATTTCATTATTACATTTCATTATTAAATGAAAATATTTAAAAATTCGATTTTAAATTTTCGCTGAGTGTATTTGCCATTGATGCTCTGCGAGGGAGTTACAAGGGTAGTCTATCACTCATTTAAGTAGATGCACACTAAAAACTCTTTCAATGAAACATTTGTTGTCTATACGTGAATGTGTGTGTGTGTGCCCCCTCACACTGAGACCCAACTTTCTTTGGCATACAAATTTCGACTTTGGCACTCTTAATTAACTGAATATGGGCAAAAGTGCACAGAGTGTGGGGGACATTCGATAGCATTCGATTGTTTTCTTATGAGTTTTGTACGATTTGTTTTACTTATTTTGTTTTTTATGGTTGGGGCGCACTTTTCGAGTGGATTTGTGGGCGTCTTTGGACAGCATGTGGGCCAGAAAGTAAGAAAGCACTTGATAAATACGTGACAGCCGGTGCCAAAAAAGAAAAAATAAAAAATAGCTGAGTGCTATAATACAAATAACTACCCATGCAAAGTATTACGCGAAAACTGAATTGATATATAGGTCAAATGGATTGAGAGAGAGAGAGAAATTTGAGCGTGTGGATGGAATGTGAGGCAGATCAATCACAGTCAATCAATTGGTAAGTGAAGGCAAGGAAGCAAGAGCTATTAGAGAAATATACATCAGATATGTAGATATAGGAATGTATAATTTGATTATGCCATAAGCTAGAGAGTTAGGGAGATAAAAGTCTCAGTTGAATAACAAGAATTCTTTCATTTGAATTACCACTTGGTTATGATCTATATATCAGTGGCATTGGCGCCTTGGTATATTTCCTAAAGAGATCTTCAACTTTCAGCTACGCTCGTCACTCCAGAGATAACTGTTTCGTATACCAATTGCTCTTGTAATTCGCAACTAGTTGAAGCACAGCTGGAGTGCAATTGCAGCTGTTGTTGCTCTGTTGCCAACTGACTGCTAGAAATGAATTCATTTTGTGGCTAAGCAAACAAGAAAGCTATGGCCATTAGCTGAGCGTGTTTGTATGTCTAAATAAATACATATCTAGAGAGATATATGAGATAGGAGATATATGTTTTTTATGGTCATTAGCAGACAGACAGCCCAGTTAATTGCAGCGTGAAGTTGAGCAGTGCGGCGCGCTCATTGAATTGCAATTCAATTTTTTGTGCTAATGCCTCAGATTGCAGGTATTATATATATATCTTATATACATAGCAATATAATTTGGACTGCAGTCAAGTCTGCCTGAATTGCTTTGGCTACTAATTTGATCGGGCATTTTACTTTTTGGCATTCTGTCCTGGCCAAAAAGGACATTCTGTCTAACATAATATTCTACTCCTGTTTGTAATTTGAGACAGCAGTCAAGTGACCAGCTATTACAACAACAACAACTACTACTACTACTACCACAACTGCAACAACAAACCGCAAGTGCACATTTTGCCAATTTGAGCAGAAGTTTTTGGCCCTTTGGCCCGGGCGTCGCATTGTCCTTCTTGGAATTGTGCTTGGCCAAGCCCGAGCTGCCTCTTGGCAGACACGCTGGAAAAGTGAAAACAACTTTTACTACTTGTCTGCTTGTCTGTTGGCTGTTGTCTGTTGTCTGTGCCCGGGCACTGTCTGCCAGCTTAAGCTGTTGCCCCGCCGTCTGTTTGGCCCCTCGTGCAACGCCAATTGCATTTTACGTGTTGTCCTTGCGTCCTGCGTCCGTGGCGCCTCGTCGTCGCGTCGTTTGTTTGCCATTTCCTCGTCGCTGGCAAAACTTTACCATAAATTTCCTCGACTCCCCCGCAGCTCGGTTTGTTTTTATTATTTTTGTTGGATTGTTGTTGTTGCTGCTGTTGCTTTAGCTGATTGTTTTTGTTGCGCGTGTCGCGACAAAATGCATTTAAATAAATTATTCCTAGACCAATGTCGCGTCACTTTATTAGCCGGGTATTTCCCCGCATTTATGTCCGACTGTCCTTCCGTCCTTTTGCTTTTTAGTTTTTACTTTTTACACCACAAATTTAATTACAAGTTAATGACACTCGAGCCAAAGTGCTGAACCAGTTGGCAAAATCGCTTATGGTTCCATGGAACTCTATCTTTGACTCCTTGACTTTATCAATGTGCACAATTGTTCGCTTATCTGTGATGGCATTTTCTTTTTTTATCAACTTGGTGAATTTCGATTGAATTGCAGCTAATGCAATCAAGCTAAAATATTAAGTGCTTAAGCCGGGCCGTAAACGTTCGCATCAACAAACTAGTCCAAGCAGACGTCTAGAGACTCACGTAACTCCCGACCTATTATAAATTTATTCATTAATTTTTGTAAATGATCACTAAATCTAATTATATATATATATATGTATATAGTTCAATGGGCGTGGCACTAAATGCCTTTGGAACGTTGCCAGCACCGCAACGATTCTATGCAAGGCCGTAATAAAAGCTCATAGATTTGGAGAGTCCCTTTAGTATTTTCATGTTTACTCCAAATTTTTACTATATTTGCTGGATAAATATTTGTGTGATCAAGGAAACAAAAAGATGAAAGACTTTTTCAAAATTTACCTGCTTTCAATACTATTTATTGTATTTAGTGCATATATAATTGGGTAGAGCCACGTCAGTTGAAGGAATTGTTATCGAGCAGCTCACACCTTTGGCAAATATTTTCGACTCTCTCTCTCTCTCTCTCTCTTTCTACTGTGTGAGTGTTTGAGTATAATAATACAATACAAGTATATTCATTAGGCGGGTTCAATGCACTGCTTAAAGTCAAACAAAACGACAGAACTGAAATATTGTTGTTGCTGAACAACACATGTAAATTTGTCAAATGGCTTGCCGTTGTTGTTGTCGGTGTTGTTGCTGTTGTCCGCTGCCACGCCCCAAGTCAGCCTCAAATGGCACAGGGCAAACAAAAGTCTGATTAATTTGACACTGAACCTAAAAGCCTGGCACGCAGGCAATCGCAATCGGATACCACAAAAA